GCCAAAGCGCTTGCTCATAGGGGGTCATGTGATTATTGGGATTTCCTCGGTTTTCTTTCTGTTATTGTAGGGTCTTTACCTTATAACATACATCGAGGCAACTGTTGTTGTAATTTGCACTGTTTGAATAAAATTGAGTTGAACTCTAACTTGAAAACACAGCGAGCCACTTTTATTAATTTTATGATGAAACACTTTGACACAAATGGAAGAAAATCCACCAAATAAACTCAACGTGCTCCAATTGAAGTCTAATTAACCCACAGTGCCCCCTGTAGGATGACAGAGAGCTTGGAGAAATAGACAGACTTCCCTGCCTCTGTCTGAGGGCGGTTCCAGTTCGGTAATAGCTGTGGGAGTTTGGGAAACATCTCGCTGTCTCTTCGGGGCTTTGAGTGAGCTGGACCCGAAAATGCAGACAGATTAAATATGGAAGCCCGGAGGAGTCAAGCAGGGGGGTCGCAGACGGTTAAATACAGGTCTGGGAGTCTGGGAGTGCTGAAGTAGATCTTAGACTCTATTTTTCTGTTTTACTCTGTGATTGTGACAAAAACTCTAGAAAGGTTTGGAGCTTTGTGTCTTTGTGATGACATATCTCTGTAAATAAGAGCTGCTTGGATTCTGAACTTTAGCTTTTAAACAGGAAAAAACAAGTAAATAAAAACAGCCAAATGTCTTTTAGCATAAATTAAGAACAAAATCGGAGCAGAAAGTCATTTCCAGATCAGCGGGTGTCTTGTTTCGACCTCAGTGCTCGTCCTGAGGCAGCAACAAACTGGCTTCGTTTTAAACTAATTACCCACAATGAGCTGTTTGACATGCAGAAAATATGAACAAAATGACTTCTTGAGGGAGTTTGAGAGAAACCAAAGCCTGAAATGAGTGACAGTCGTTCAAAGTGTAAACCACTCTCTGCTGCAGCGCCCCCTGCTGTAAAAAAAAAAACCCTTAGCAAAACCTAAGAAATATCTGCATAGCACAAAGACAAATCTGAGGATAATTAGAAAGTTTTTGAAATATCTAAAATATGTAAAAACGTCTAACTTGTAGCTGAACTCTTCACTAAATGTTTAGACATCCCCTGCCATAAACAATGACTGGAAGCACATCAGTGTTTATCTCCTACTCATAAAAACAAGTCAAGGAGCAGAAGTGGTTAAACTGGCAGATAAATGAAGCTAGGGTTAGCTGGCTATGTGTTACACTGGCTGGGCTGATGCCAGAGTATAGAGACCAACTTTAAAACTCATCTCACTTTGCTGTTTTATGAATAACATGAAAAACAAAAAAGAATTTAGAGGGTAAGTAACACCCAAGTGCTGCTAGCGTCCACAGTTTTTTAGATATCAGTTTCAAATTTTGTGTGATGTAGATACCAATAACAGCTGGAGCTGATGAAAACTGGGCAAGGTGCTAGACCTTGGGGGACATGTGTACCTAGGCTTGCTAAGCACCTTAACCTTCATTGTTAGCGCCAAAGGTCAAAGTTAACCATAACAAAGAAACTTCAAGAAATCATACTGAGTAACATATCATATGAAAGGACATGGAGAGAGCTGCACAACACACTTTTTATTTTTTCAATCCAATGCCGTATGACATCACAATGATGCCATAACAGGCTCCCATCATCATGTTGTAACAAAAATATCACAAAACATCAAAGTTTTAGTGTAGCTATGCTCTTCGGGGGGAGTTTCTCTTAGATATGTTTTTGTCTCTCTTGAAAATAAGATCTCACCCTCATTGAGACTACCTGTTTAAATTAAGGTTTTAGTCTGTATATATGTATTATGTACACTGCTCTATTAGGTGTTGCACAGCATATGTGACATATAATAGTGCATCGTAACTGTGGACAGGACAGTTAAGTGTGTGTCTCATTTTTTTGGTGGGCACGAGCAACTTCAGATTCAAGTAACCAGATGATTTTTGCATGTTCATGTTTGAACATATTGTAGCTCACGTTGTTCTAGTTTTCTGGGTTATAAGCGTGTCAGCACGTCTTCAAAGGAGAGCGATGATCTCCAGAAAAATGCATGTGGAGGTCTGTGACAGCTGCTGGTGGGCTTTAGTTTTTAGTCAAACTTAAGCAACTTTCTAACCCTCACTGCAGCAGCACGGAGCAGGTGTGCTTGCACCCTCTAAAGACTGTTATTACCCACAGAAAGCAGCCGTCCCCCCTCTTTAAGCATGTGAAGGCACCCAGCCTGACCTTTCACCTCTGCCCAGACAAACACACAGGTAAGTATACACTCCCAGAGAATCGCAGGCAACCGCAAACCATCCAGACGGTCAAGGAAGGAAAAAAACAACAGAGGCTTCAGACGAGCTAATTAGATCTGTCGAGATGTTCACCTCCTCTCCCACACTCGGGCTAAAAGAGACTTATTTAATTATTACAGCCTTAATTACTGCTGGTACAATCACCCAAATAGGATGCGAGGAGACGGCGACTAAAATTGGGTTAGAGCTGCCTCTGGTTTCCTCTGGGTTCACCGTGTCGGCTTCCATTAGTGGCATGAAGGAACGCTGCAAATCTGCCCGTCTGCTCTGCTGTGAGGGAAAGACGAGGGTGAGAGCGCCGTGCGCCTTCTCATTATGAATGAACGCCTTGTCTCTGAAACGCCTCTCCTTTGGTTTTCTCACAAGAAACGTCTCATTTTAGCCTCTCCACAGCCCCGCAGGTTTAACGTCTTTATCGCCTGCGTGTGGTGTGTTTTCTCCTTGTTGGATTGTCCTCGTTTGTCTCATCAGGATGAACTCAGACATGCTGAGAGATCACTGATATGAATCAGAGGGCCTGTCAGCCTGTGCTCAGGGATTTCTGCCTCATTGTGAGAAAGACTGAGTTTAAGTAGTTTTAGTTATTTCCAGTATTTCTTATGTCCTGCAGTCATATACATGAGTATCATCATTGCAGAAACTGAGGAAGAAACTATGATGGCTCGAGGATAAAAACAAATGGATAAAACATAAGAAAATAAAGAAATTAGCTCACACAGCGTCCCCTTCTCATGGGTGGTTCAAAGGGGGTTAACAGTGTCCCTTATACAATTTAAACAACATTACGTTTGACGAACTCCCTCTGGAAGTTCATCAGACGATCATCGTATTTAGTTGGTCTTATTACCTCTTAACTTTTCACTGAAAGGCATGTCTGTGGGGAATTTCAATGTTTTAAATTTTATATTGTTGTAATTGACATACAGCGCACAGCCAAGATGAAAATAAGCAAACAGGTAAGTCCTTCCATTAAATCATTATGGTGGTGATTGATATGTTTCTTCTCGGAAGGTTATTTGCAGTGAATGAGTGAGCTTCTGATTTCTTAAACTTGTATGACCACGGTCATGGAAAAGCTGTTAATCTGTTTCAAAAAGGTCGAATTGTCGACCTTTACCAAGCAAAGAAAACAAGCAAAGTCCTGAAACTACTAAAACTGGACTGAGAACTGTTCAGTGCATTATTAAAATGTGAAAGGATAGTTGTCAACCATCATCTTGGAAGAAAAAATGTGTTTGTGGAAAAAAAAAAACCTTGAATGATTGTGAACACTTAAAAGTTTAGTGAAATAAAATCATAAATATCAATATTAGAAGTCACGGCTACGTTTAATAGTGGAAGTAAGAACGTTTCCATACACACTATCTGTGACGGCTACAGAAAACCACCTATCAATGAGGCTAATTAGAAAAAATGCCTCAGTTTGCCAGAGAGCGTACAGACTGGACTGTATGGATAAAGGTCATGTGGTCTGAGTTGACACTTTTCCAAAGCGATGCATCACCGTAAGAAAAGAGGTGGATGAAATGGTGCATGCCTTGTGCCTGCTCTACAAGCCTGTGGAGGCAGTGTTATGATCTGGGCTTACTTCGGTTGGTTCAGTCTAGTTTCAGCAACATTACATGCCCATAAAAATGAGGTCAGCAGGGACCTGAAGATACTGAATGCTCAGGTTTTTCCATCAGTGGATTTATTTTCTTCTCTAAGGATTAGGCTAATTTCAAGATGACAATGCAAGGATTCATCGGGCATGAGACATAATTTTCACAAGTGATTTGGCCACCACAGAGCCCTGCCCTTAACCCCACTGACAATCTTTGGGATGTTGGAGAAGACTATATAAAGTTTTCTGTTTCTCCCATCATCAGTACGAGAGCTTGGGAAAAAAAATATTAATGAAATTCTGGATGGAAATAAATGTGACATTGCATGAACTCGTGAAACACAGCAAATGCGTTCAGCTCCAGACTTTACATGTGACAAGAGTTCAGGACTTCACACATCTTCACACCAGTATTCAACGATAATACTTTGATTTACTTCCTGTAGCAGATTTATTACATTTGTGCACAGTTGTTGTGAAAGTTCTTCATGATTCTTTATATTTATATTGTGAAAATTGCGAGTTGTTACTGAAAGCCGCGTTCTGGTGCTGAATCGCTGTGAAACAGAAGGCTGATGTTTAGGTGTCGGTCATGGTCATAAGTACATGAAATAAGGCACTCACATTAGATGTGGCGAAAATGGTGGTGCAGGAGAACAGCTTCCACTGCAGAAGCCCTTGCACTACTTTTCATGCATGTACAAAAATGGGCGGCTCGTGTAAGATCCCCAAATGTAAAAAAGAATTGTATGCAAAACCAAACAGGAAGTCTGCCATTTTGAACTGACCTTGTAGTTCAGGTGTGATTTTTGTATTTTTTAGGTAATGTACTTTTACACACTCCTCCTAGAGAATCATTCTATTATTTGCAAAGCTTTTGAGTTTTCACTGGAGGGTGTCTCTGTGGTGGATTGGTGAAATATCAGGCTACCAACCATAAACATTGTTTAAAAAATGGACTTTGGGATTAGAAAAGGATTTTCTGAAATTTTTTTTTTGAGAAATTGAGCTTCCCTTGGAAAAGCAGTTAGATTTGAAGCAGGTTTGAAAATAAAAGCATACATCGGGTAAATCTATAACCCCTGAGTATAAGAAAAGTCTTCTGGAAACATTAAAATCCTGATGTTTTATTTGTGAAATGTTTCTGTACACATCAGCAGGTCAGGCTTGAAATGGTCACTGTGTGAATGAAATCAGCCTGGGCTCATTAGAAAGTCTCCCTGGATTTCATCAAATGCTAAATTCAAATCAGAGCTCCATTTTCTGCTCCGAGCGGTTGGATTGTTTAGGTGTAAAACATTTCCGGTTGAACTGGCTGCATGCTCGAGTCTCTGTGGTTTTCTTCTCTGAGCGGCGAGCTGAAAGAGCTGTGACAGATCGCTGGCTGAGCATCAGGCAGTGTTTAGTTCTGCTTCGTTGTGTCAGGTAAGAGCCTGTAATGAGAGTTGGGAAAGACAGAAGGCAGCGAATGACACGGAAGCTCATGGAGACAGACAATTTTATCTAAGCACAGATTAAAGGATTAGTCCATCGTTTAAGAAAAACATTAGCACCATCACTGTCAGATTCAGTACAGAAATAAGAACAGGAAGAGGTGATGAAGATGAAATTTGCGACTATATTTCTCTCACATGTTCTTTTATTCTTGATTATAGATACAAATGATAGTAGTGAAATTAAGTGTGTGAAAACAGATGCTGACCGAAGCACTGTACCACTGAAAGAGTAACATATTTAAAAAGGAAAGGAACATAATATCAGAACTCTGCATGGTATTAACACCAAAAACATCTATTGTTGCACAAAGAAGAGTTTTTTTCTTTAATTTAGGAGTAGCTCCTGCAAAGGACCTCCTGATATTTCTGTCTGGACACTGGGACAACTAGAAGCTTCTCCTCACTAGACCTGTGGTCTGAGTGTGCAAGGTTAAGATATCAGAGAAATAAGTATGTGCCAATTTAGATATTGCTAAATCAGTGCAGAGAGCCAGTGTGAGGAAGCTGAAGTGTGGTCGTCTTTGCATGTTGACCCTGATAGGACAGACTGGAAAGATTGTTCATGTTGTGTTTTCTTCTTTGAGTCTGTTAAATCTTCACCTTCACGTGCACCCAAAATAGAAAAAAATTAGGTTTGACAACAACAGTTATTTGTGTTGTCTTATTTTTGCCAACTCCCTCTGCAGTTCCCACAGTGGATCATCTGCCTCCATTCAGGCCTTTCCCAGTTCCAGTTATTATGGTAAATGGTCTGCATTTGTATAGCGCTTTTCTAGTCCCTAAGGACCCCAAAGCGCTTCACACTACATTCAGTCATCCACCCATTCACACACACATTCACACACTGGCGATGGCATGCTACATTGTAGCCACAGCTGCCCTGGGGCGCACTGATCCACATATTGTGATTTGGCGAAGATTTTATCCTTCCTAACTTCCAAACTTTTCCCTTGCTGATGTAACTTTCCTTTACTCTCCACTGGTGTGTAGCACTAATGGCTGGTTAACAGCATTTATTTGTGTATCCAAGGAAAAGGTGATATCAGTGATGACTGCCACTATTTGACAAGCTTAACTCTGAACAACACTGTATGGTGTATGAGGTCTTTCTGTATCACATGCACTGCACAGTTATTTTAACATTTGGTCAAGTGTTAATAAAATAAGCATAATGCATCTATTTGTGAAGCATTTCTTCATTCCTTACACTGTCCTGTACACAGTTACAGGAACACTGGTATTTAGCTGTGCACTGTCTGGGACATATAAATGACATATCACTGCAGTCTTGATGACATGTTATTAGCTAATACTTTATACTGGAAACAACAATCACAATGTGACCAAATTAAGGATTTGAAGGTTCAGAGTCATGTCTTGAGTCTTTGCCCTTGTTTGTCCGAGAGTGTTCTCAAACTTAGAACGATTATATTAGTAAAAATTATTAAAATAAGACAACTATAATGAAACTATATTAAGTTAAATGCAAAAATTTAAATTTAATAATGTTGTCTTGTTTTACATTGCAGGAGAGCGAGTTCTTTGGACCAGTTAGTTCTTAAGGGTATCTCTATGAATTTGCCTTTTTTGTATTAGGTTGTACTACTGTAGATATTTTGTAAATTCATGCCTGCACTGCATTTTGTCTTGAGAAAATCACATTTTCAACAAATTGAAAGAAGCAGCAGAGGTTTTAGAGGTTTAGTTTCTTGGATTAACCTGTTGCTGGGTTGTGTGGCGTCCTTAGCTTCTGTAGTCGTGTGACTGATGGTCTGAATGTGTACATATCCTGTTAATGAGGTGGCGTTGGTGGTTTGGATTCAGAGAAGAGACGCTGCAGAGGTAGACAGAGAGAAGTCAACAGCCGCGTTAACCCCTGGATGTTTGATGAAGCGGTGAGCGCTAGCTTCCCTTCGCCGTGGATCCAACATCATTAGCCCGGAGAGAGACAGTATGTTTCGGCCCGCACTGCCGGTAATGAGCCCTCGCCGATCATCCCTCACGGCGTAATTAGCGGCGGGCCCGGCACTCGGGTCCCCTGCTCGCCGCTAATGGAGTGAACAAGGCAGAAAACGAGCGCTATTAAAGGCTGGACATGAATTCTAGCTCACCACGTGAAACTCTTGAAACATAATCATCATTCAGCGCAGAGACTCGGGCCTCCTCTGGATCGCTGCCTCGTCTGCCATCTCCAATCAAAGCGGGATGGATTGGGACACGCACGGTGAGACCCCCGATTCCTGTCTCCAGGTGTGAGACTTCAAATCTGAGTCCGAGTCTCTTTAATCTTCAAGCACAGGAAACATGATGGAGTCATGTGGCTGTATGATGAGTAGAAAAAAAAAGGTTTTATCTGTCATCTTTGTTGTAGTTTGAGTTTTATAAGATTTAGTTTTTATTGTGCCGGGTGTTTGGAGCCATGTGGTTAAAGCTCAGGAATCATCTTTAATTGAGTTTTGGGATTCTTGATTGACCTTTATTCTCAGAACACCGGCAAAACAATAGAAATACTCATATCAGGGTACATTTTAACAACTGCTCAGTATTGTGTATGAAGAAAACTGACGGCTCCACATTTCCTTAGTCTCATTGTGTGTTGCATAGATGAAGCTTTGTTTTTTCTAACTATTATGTTTCTTTTTGTAAGATTCAATCAGGCTAAACCAGTCTCATATGCTGCAAGTGAAAATAAACAAGTTAATTCTTTGCTTCCTTGATTACAGTGACCAGCTGTTATCGGGCTGGTGAGGTTCATTAAGGAAACAAAACAAAATTAGATTTTTTTTTTTGTGTAAGATGAGCAAATATCACATGAATGTTTTGTCCCCCAGATGATCCTCAGAAAGGTCAAAGGTCAAAGCCACAGCACCTCGATTTTGTGTGTTAAAAATGACACAGGGATGCTGTCAGTGTGTTTGATGTGCTCATGGGTGTCACCTGAGTGACAGGGGGGCGGAGACATGTAATGGTCGCAGGTGGCAAGGTCAGGGAGGCGATTGGTCGCCTTATCAAGCAGGCAGGAGAAGGAAGGCGGGGTCAAGGCCAGAGCTGACGACAGGAGGCAGGACCAGGCCTCCATAACAGCTTAACCTTTAGTAGCAGTAATATGAATAGGAATAATAGAATATCTACTAGATTTAATTAGTTGTTTCTCCTATAAAATCATAATCAATGAAATACTGAACTGACTGGATAGAATTTGAGTAAATTCAGGCGTTAAAGACATTTCTCACAACTTGTTGAGAATTTATGGACTTCAAAAAATGCACCTATATTACTGTTATTTATTAAATGCATATTCTGTAATTTAAACAATCTAAAAATCCTTCATTTATATTTTAGTAGTACAGGATATATTAAGAATTAGTTTGGTGTATGTTTCTTGCTGCATATATGCTTTAATTTGTGTTTTCTGTATACATATGACTTGTGTTTTTACGGTATAGTCCTACACACACACACACACACACACACACACACACACACACACACACACACACACACACA